TATATATATATATATATTATTCTATACATTATTCATGCTCTCTCTATAAATATTAACGAATGCTATTTCAGGCACATTAAACTCATTAGGTTCTGAGCTGTACCTCCGTCTAGTAGATTGGCCCAGTAGATGATACGGAAACCCTGTAGAACGCCGTTGAGAGCTTCCCTGGACGGAGTCTGCCAGTACAAAGAGATGCTTTCAGGGGAAGCAGCGGTGGCCACAACTTTCTCTGGAGCTCTGCTGGGTACTGAGAACACAAGAGAAATATAGAAAAAATAAATAGCCTAATTACTCATTGGCTCAGAATGTGTACAGTAGGTGTGAAAGAAATTGAAATTGATGAATTAACTTGAATTGGGTTGACAGTCCTTACAGAAGTTTTAAGCACTGTAAACATCTCCAGTATCCACTAGATGGCAGCAAATATTACAAATGTGCTTGGTGAATATCATGGTATTTTTGATGGTTGGTTTAAAAAAAAGAAAAAATGAAAGCTATTACCTTGAGGGACTAAAATTTGCTGCATCATGTGAATGATTACAATGGCTTACCATCTTCCATTGTTGTGGCCCGGACTTCACTGGAAGCAGGTCCCGGGCCGGCACTGTTACTGGCCTGCACCACCACCTCATACTCTGTGAACTTCTTCAGGTTGTTGAGGCTCAGGGACTCTGTCTCACCCGTGGCCTCCATGCTGATGCAGACGAACTGGTGACTGCCGTTTATGGAGTGCTCTCGATGGCACACCTGATACCCCCTGATCACGCCATTCTGGAGATGTTTCAGCGGTGCCTGCAGATGATGAAATGATAGTGTTTATAAGCAAGACCTCATATATTGGCATGTACTCTTAATTGGCATCCATGGAACCTTTCTATTCCATAAACATTTGTTAGATAATAAAAATGTTGTTCACGCAAGGGGAAAAAAAAGGTTATTTTAGGAAATTATCAATGAAAGGTTCTTCTTTAGCATTGCTTTAAAAACCCCACTTCTGGAACCTAATTAAGAGTGTACACCTATATATATATATATATATATACTGTATATCGTCACATAAATATAAAGTGCAAAAACAAACAACAACAAAAACATGAATTAAAAATACATATTCTTATATCCAATGGTTAAACACTATCTATAAAATAATAATAATACAAATAAAAAAAATACCACTTAAAAGTTTGGACTGATTTTGTTTCATTTATGCCTGCATTTGTGGTTTATGTTTATATGCTTGAAATAATTTTTGTAGTCAAATATATTTCAATATAATATAAATTTCTTTATCAAACTACCATTTAAATAATATTAGTAAATACAACAATATTTAAAAACCATACACATTGCATTTTATATAGTTTGTTCATTTATTTATTTTAGTAATATAAATGTTAAATATTATAAATAATTATAATAAAACAAATAACCAATTTTATATACATAAAATAAACATTATTATCATATATTTATTAATAAATTGGTTGAAATGATTTTTTTCAGTCAAATATACACACAGTATAATATCTATCTATCTATATAAAATATAAAAAATAAATAACAAATTATCCATTGGTGAGCATTTTTAGGCTGCAGTCTATATATTTTGTATATTATTCAAGTTGAATTTGTATTCATTTATTATATAAACTGGTAACACTTTACAATAAGGCTCTATTAGTTAATGTATTCATTGACATGAACAAACAATGAACAATACATCTATTGCAATATTGATTTATCTTTGTTAATGTTAGTTAATTAAAATACAGTCGTTCATTGTTAGTTCATGTTAATTCACAGCGCATTAACTAATGTTAACAAGTACAACTTTAATAATGCATTAGTAAATGTTGAAATTAACATTAGTTAAGATCAATAAATGCAGTAGAATATTGTTCATGCTATAACTAATGTTAACTTGTGAACTTTATTGTAAAGTGTTACCTGTAAACTATAATAAATTACTATATGAATAAATATATCAATATATTATTTTCTATAGTTTTTTACTTTTAAAATATAACAGTAAGTATGTGTACCTGAAAGACCTCTTTACCGTTAATGAATTAGGAGCATCAGTATAACATTTTGGACTAAGTGTGAAGGGTTGTTTCATTTTGAAATATGTGCATCGAAGAGGCCAAGCATGACAATGCACAAATGAAGAATCTGACCTGCAGGGTGGAGACGACCTCGTCGCCGACGTTCTTGACCATTACCGTGTGCCGCCACATGTCTGGATTGATCATGTGTGACTGCTTTTCCTTTTCCACCTCCTTCTCCCATCTAACCATGATGGGCTTCTCACCATGCGTCTTGCAGCTCATCTCTATCTTCTCTCCTTTCGTTGCCAGTGAGTTGTTGGGATATGATGTTATCATGGCTGGAACTGAGAGAGAGAAATGAACATGCATCATGATGACAAATGCCATCACTGCAGATCAAACCGAACAAGTTTTTTTTATGACATCAACGACTTTTGACTTACATTTGTGCAAATGTCATGTAACGTTTTGCAACAGCGAGGATCAGAACACTTTACTACTCCAGACAAGGTAAATGTTTTACAGCTTTATGGCAATAACAAGATTGAATGTGAATGAAGTACAGTTATTACTCCTCTTTCTTCATCACACACACATACACACACACACACACACACACACACACACACACACACACACACACACACACACACACACACACACACGCGCGCCTGTCCAGGTTCTTCACAGGCATGCATTGGGGGAGTGGAGCAGAGCGCCAGGCGGGTACGTGGTAGCGCCGGTACAGCGTGTGATGTGATTGAGTGTGTCAGGTTGAAAGTCCCGACCGTTTACATGTCATCTCTTATTCACTCCAGCAATTCTCAGCTCAGCAGCAAAAAATAAATAAATAAAATTGCATGACAATGTTTTTTTTTTTTCAGGCCTGTTTTATATTTTATGATTTTTTTTAAATGTACTTAATACTTTTTTTTTATATAAATATTTTTAGAATATTAAAACCCACATATTTATTTACATATATATTTAATCAAAATTGTTTTTCAGTCTTTTGTCACATTATATCAAGCAACATTATCCAAGTGCTGCACATTTAACAAGGAAAAAAATTTTTATTTATCAGAAATACTGTATTCCCAATGTTTCTTTTTAAAAATTCAGTTCCTTGATGACATCATCCTCCAGGAAGTGACATCATTATTAAAGGGAAAACAACAACAAAAGAAAAGAGAGGCAAAAAAAAAAAAAGGCAACACCATTTTCGGTTTCTGAAATAAATAAAATATAAATTTTAAATGAAAAACTCACTAACTTAAAGGGGTTATATGACGTTGCTAAAAAAACATTATTTGGTGTATTTGGTGTAATGAAATGTGTTTATGCGGTTTAAAGTTCAAAAAACACATTATTTTCAACATAATGTACATTATTGTTGCTCCTCTATGCCCCGCCTTTCTGAAACGCGTCAATTTTTACAAAGCTCATCGGTCTGAAAAGCGAGGTGTGCTCGGATTGGCCAGCTATCCAGTGCGTTGTGATTGGCTGAATGCCTTAAGCGTGTGACAGAAATGTAACGCCCCTTTAACACACTGTCTGTGATGCCGTCTCCCGGCACAGCGAGACAAAAAAAACAATAAAACCCATTACAAACGAGGCATTTGTTGCAACCAGTGGGGACATAATTACTGATTATAATGACTTATACTGTGTTTTTACGTGTTGTTTTTACGTATCACGCCGTGTAAAGTTTGAATCGTCAGTGGCAAATTCTTTAAATATAAAAAATGTACTTACAGTCTGTGAGTCAGAAGCGCCAGACTGTACTTGTAAAGTTGGAACTGCCCCACTTTATATAACAGCCTTTGAGCACTGACCCATTGTATACTAGGAAACAGTAAGTAACTGTTCAGGAAATAAAATGCGTCACACAGCATCACACACAGCGGGCTTGAGTGAGGAACGGCCGGCAGGCTTGCGGCAACCACATGTGATGACCCCGGGCTGGACTCCGCTTCGTCCATGGTGAAAGCCGATCTGGTGATCCACAGCGTGAAGTTGATGTATTTCCTCAGTGACCAGCACAGATCAGCTCCAGGCATGACGAAGCGGATATCGTCCTCTTTTGGAGGCCAAACAAAGTAGTTTCGCTTTCACAACGAACCACACTGCATCTCCAAAACATAGCGACGGAGGCAACAATATTACAGCGAGAATAAAAGTTAGGCCTACTTTCTTTGAATGAACATTTGGGCGGTGTTATGCAAATCTTCCCACACAGTGACGTAGACATGTGGGGGCGTGTTTAAACGAGCCGTTTTAGGAGGGCGTGGACAAGTCTTAACTTTTATAAAGAATATCTCTTTGGATTTGAGACTTTAGTCTTTGCAACTTTACAGATCTTCTTTATGCAACAAGAGCTTGTAACACTCCAAAGAGAAAGGAAAAATTTTAATCGCATCATATGACCCCTTTAAAATAAAAAAATTATAAAAAATGTTGTTTTAGCAACTAACTGAAGATTAAATACTAAAATGACTAAAACTAAAAACAAAAACAAAAAATAATAAACAAGTGTTCAATCTAAAGAGAAATATTAAAATATAACATTATTCAAACTTACTAAAACTTAAACTAAAATTAAATTGAAAACTGAAAATATAAAATCTAATTATATATTTTACGATTTATTGTGATTTTGTGATAAAAAACTTATTTAATAAAATATAAAACAAATATGATTTCTACCTTGATAGAAGCAACATCTGTTTGTTTATTAGATTGTTGCATGTTCATTAGGACCAGCCTGAAAAACATCATTTTTTCATATTATCAGTGTGATGAATATAAACATTTCACACGATATCACAGTTAAAATGACTGAATCATTATGTACTGTAAGCTGTCACTGTGCAATGCTAATGCTAGTCCTTTATGTCCACCCTGTTAGCAATCCTAGCGTTTTCATTTGTAAACACTGAGAGGAGTCTCTTAAAATGACTACATTTGATCAGAGGGAAAAAAAATGAAGCTGTACCGTCCCCCGCTAAAAGATGCAGGCAGCCTAAACTGGCATCCTATTTCTTATCGCGGCCGAGCGCTCGCTCCTTATGTGATTATCCAGAATAAAACACTAAAGAGGGAAGTAGTCTCTGTGTTGGAGGGGCAGCTGTATCTTCCCTCAGGCTGCGAGCTGTCTTCATCATGACTGCATAATTGCTGTGTTGATGTATTTCTTTAATATCCAGCTGAATTATAAGCAGCAGTTGGACTGAAAGGGAAGGTGCTAATTCCTCTCCTGAGATCCAGACAGAAGAACTGTGTGTTGCTGGGCAGGAACTTGCTCTCCGGCTGTAGGAGTGATTTACGTCTCTTCTGAATCCTCTCTGATTGATTCAGGCTCTTTTTACTAGTTCATTTAGGGGTCGTAAATGGACCAAAATGAGCTTGCATGTGTCACGAATACACACATTTACTCACAGTCTCTCTGGGTAGCAGTTTTCATTCTTGAGTAAAACGGCATCATATTTAACGAAGCATATGCAAAATGCTTGAACCGGAAGCGGCGAGACCAGATTAATAGAATACGGATGTCTGTTGCGCATAAACCCCTAAACAGACACAATCCGGATACTTGTTTATCCTACAAGAAAGGCCATAGCACATTTATTTATAAAACAAATCCGGGCACTTTTAATGAGAGTAAAATAATTTGCAGTCTACAGTATGTTTGACTAAATGCATTTATGGAAGCTCAACAATATCACTTGTACTTGTGAAACACACTACTGATTGTACTAACATTTTGAAAGGAAATTGTAAAACAAAACAAAAACTAATTAAAAAATTGTATGTTAAAACTGTTATTTTACACACTCACACAACTATTACTGTAAGGCATATACAAGTACATAAAAAAAAAATAGAATACTGGGAAAAGTTTATATTTTTCATATATTATTATTTGTATTATTTATTTTATTATATGTGACCCCGGACCACAAAACCAGTCATAAGGGTCAATTTTTTGAAATTGAGATTTATACATGGTATGAAAGCTGGATAAATTAGCTTTCCATTGATGTATGGTTTGTTGGGATTGGGCAATATTTAGCCGAGATACAACTATTTGAAAATCTGGAATCAGAAAATCGCCTTTAAAGTTGTCCAAATGAAGTTCTTAGCAATGCATATTACTAATCAAAAATTACGCTTTGATATATTTACAGTAATACATTCACAAAATATCTACATGGAACATGATCTTTACTTAATATCCTAATGATTTTTGGCATAAAAGAAAAATCGATAATTTTGACCCATACAATGTTTTTTGGCTATTGCTAAAAAGCGACTTAAGACTGGTTTTGTGGTTCAGGGTCATATACAGTGTTGGGGGTAACGCATTACAAGTAACGCGAGTTACGTAATCAGATTACTTTTTCAAGTAACTAGTAAAGTAACGCATTACTTTTTAATTTACAAGAGAATATCTGAGTTACTTTTTCAAATAAGTAACGCTAGTTACTTTTTTTTTTTTTTCAATTTATTGATCGACAGCTCTCCGGTCCCCATGTTGACAAATCAGAAGATGCTACTGTAGTTGTAAAGCAAAAGTAACGTAACGCATTACTTTCCATAAAAAGTAACTAAGTAACGTAATTAGTTACTTTTTTATGGAGTAACGCAATATTGTGATGCATTGCTTTTAAAAGTAACTTTCCCCAACGCGGACAAGTAACGCAAGTTTTTTTTTTTTTTCAATTTATTGATCGACAGCTCTCCGGTCCCCATGTTGACAAATCAGAAGATGCTACTGTAGTTGTAAAATAAATATGAATATGAATTAATTCATCTCACTCACGAAATAAAAAAAAACACAGATTCAGTATTCCTCAAAATGAATAAAAATAATGCAACTCAGAATACGACGCAAACCTGCAATAATTAAATGTTAAACAACACAAATATCCTTTATGTATTTAATCCCATTCTATTAACCAATGTCTTTG